AAAAAAAAAAAAAAAAAAAAAAAAATAGCAGTAACCAGGGACTGGCCAAGAAACACAGAATCCAGCCTGGGACAGGCCTGACCTGACTATGCTACAGAACATGGTAAGCATGCACTCCTAGGAAGCCCTTGGATTCCTACTCCTGATCCAGTCCTGCTCTGCCCCCCACCTTGCCCCACTATACCCCCAGCATAAGTTGCATGCCAGTAGATAGCTAATGGTTCATGTGCTCACTTGAGTCTTGTAGGTGTATAGAACATCTATCCAAATACTCCTGCTGCTAGTGCCCCTGCATGTCATTCCCCATGTTGCAGAAGAGTGCCTATAGCCTACTGCTTTGGAGTGGAAGACTAAGTAACCAATGTTAACAAGATTTCAGAAGTTAAAAAGGGAAACAATTGTTGCCATGGGCTCCTTTCAGATGAAACAATGCTGAACAGCCAGCATGGGAGTCCTTTCAATCCCTGGAGCTCCCTACTGCCAGGGAACTGCTTAAGGAAGCTCACACTACCAGAGCCCAACCCTCAAGGCACTGCTGTGAAGAAAGTTCACACTGAAGGCGTGCTATGACTCCAGTTACAATTGCAACAGAAGCTGGAGGGGGCAGCATTCTCCCTCCCTTTCCCTTCTCCTCAAGTGGAGCTGCCCCTCCCTGGGGCTGCAGCAGCTGTTGAAGGGATTAGCCCAGGTCCAGAAAAGATGCATCAGAACCTCATACAGAAGACAAACAAACAAAAAAGTTAATGATGGAAAAGCCAGGTGAAGGGAGGGAGCTTGGGCAGGGGAGAGATAGGGTGATCAGGGAAGGTAGGCTGCAGATTATGGGGGACCACATTCAAGTAAAAAAGTAGACTGCAGACAGAAAACAAAAAGAGAGGGAGAGAAAGGAGAGAACAAGAGGGCCAGTTACACCGAAGTCCCCACACTCATCAACCAAGATCTCCCCCAGCTAGGGATCTGGGTATTTCAACCCTCCTATTCCCAGGCACAGGTCCTTTTGTGTAGAAGGTAAAAAGCAGCACTTCCCCAACAGAGACTGCTCCCAAACCTTATGAAAAGGTTTTACAAATATATAAGTCTCTGGGACTGACAGGAGGTTCCAGTTCCCTGTCCCGTCTCATCAAGCAGTGAAAGTTGCCACACAAGTAGGCAAAGTTACTTTCAAGGCTCCTAATCAAGAGGGAGAAATTTCCCTACTGTCCAGGATTCCCTGACCTTGTATTCTGGTCCACCCATGGTACTTACGTGCAATAGCCACCACCACAATGGCACAAATGACTCCCAATATGATCATCATCTGGGGAGAGATTATGAAATGGTGAGACTCAGTAGGCTGGCATGAACTAGCGTCCCATGCCAGCTGAAGCATCTATCTGTGCCCTTCAAAGCATCTCTCTAGTCTTCCACATAGCATGGCCTGGCAGTAATACAAGCCTATCATCTCAGTGTAACCAGGTAGATGTATTAGCTGCATCAGGCACTTACAAATCTGAGTGACTAGCAACCCTAGGTCAGAAGCTTCAAAAAAAATATTCTCTCAGCCTGGACAGCAACTGCAGGGCTGGTTAAGTCTGATCTTGAACCAGCCAACCTTGTGCCTCAGAGGCTGAAAAGGAAAAAGGCAGAGAACCACTGAAAGGATACAGTTCACGCACTCCTAAGAAAATTACACCCTTCAGCTAATCCTGCTTGCAACACACCCTGTTCTCGACACATAGCTAAAAGGCAGAATCATGGGCAAGATGCTCCACTAGCTTGGCATACAGCTATGCAAGGCCAGAGACAGGCAACTGTTTAGCTTTGGTGTAAGGAGGGGGCTGGGCAGCCAGGCTCACCTTCATGTTCTTCCAAAAGTACTTCCTCTTGAGCTTTCCAGCACTGCTTTCAAACTGTGAGGCACCAGCCTGGAGAGCATCTGCCCGGTCATCCAGCTCTGACAGTTTCTGGTCTCGCTCCAGTACTTTGTCCACATTCACACGCATGATGTCTACCACCTGCAAGAGGAAGGGAATGACCCTTGGAGTGTCTCCAGACACTGCTACATAACAGCTCAGAGAAAGAAGGGCAGGCTAACAGATAGTGACTTACCTCCTCCACCTGGGCCTGTGTCTGCTGCAGCCGGCGGTTACTACTCGTGTTGGGTGGAGGGCCAGGGGGACCCCCACCCGGCGCTCCCCCTTCTGGGCCTGCTTGCTGCGCTGGGTCAGACCTGAG